TGGATCCTCACCTGCAAGACCACTAAACTTGGGCAACAATTGTATTAAACCTGATTTTAATTCAAAAGGAACATCAACATCATTATATTCAATACACATGCCATTATAATTCACATCAGGGGCAGCCAATTGCCTTAAGGTTCTTTGGTCAGCCATATCAAAAACAAATTCAGAATCTGAAGCAAACAAGTTATGTAAATAGTCAGACTCAAAATCAGACTCAATTGTGGGTGGTGAACTAGTGGTAGCCTGGACTTTTCTACGTCGTGTTTGAAAGGTTCTCTCTACTTCAGGATCAAAAGCAACAAGTTCAGAACAACAATACCTAGTAGCCAGGACTAATACACAGCAATGCAGCAACAATGTTCAAAATGCCAACAATGTCCCTACTAATTAAAAACAAACACAATGAAGGAAATCGATTAAATAAAATTCATAAAAATAAAATAACATCAGATTTAATCTACTTAGGAAAAATAATAATATTAAAAAAATTTCGACTTTTTTCGACTCTATGAAAACTGTAAAAAATTCATTAAAAATAGCAAAAAGATGAATTTGGGAATTTGAAAGCAAAGTCCCATAACTACTTTGTAGTTAGGGATAAATGAAGATATAATTTTTTTCGCAAAGGATGCCCGAAATAGATTTTGATTTGGACGCAATTTTCCCCAAAACCAATTTTTTCCCTTTTTTTGACTCTAAAATGCGAATTGGATGAATTCGTGAGGAAACTAAGGCCTAGACTCAAGGACACTAACCCTATGACTCTAAAAACGATTAATAAAAACAAGAGTCCCCGGCAACGGCGCCAATTTGATCCGATGTCGTGCACGGATCAAAAACGGGTTATTTTAAAACGTAGTACAACAACAGTGTGACTCAAATTGTCTCACAAGGATTCTTGTTTATATCAATACAACGTAAACGAATTGGGGGTTTGGCTTTAGGACCGAGTTTTAAAAAAAAAGAAAATAAGGGCTTAAAATAAGTGATCACAAATCAATTACTATAATTTCATGATTCCTATCTATCATCGATTACTATAATTTCATTGTCCTAAGCAGAATCTATTCATATTCGATCACAAATCAATCAACAAGCACAAAAGAATTTATAAGAATTATATTTCTTTTTCACTGAATTAAGAAAATGCTTAAGCAATAGCGAAATAACGAATTAAGCAAACAATATAAAACAATCAAGTTTGGGAAACACAAATCAACCGAACTAAAAAAACTACTCTATGATAATTCAGACTAAGAAAACGAATAACACAAAATAGGATTGATATGAATAGAAATTGAATTGCAAAATTATATTAACCTCAAGTTTCTGAACCAAAATTACAGCAGATAAACTCCGATGAATTAGTTCCCCATGGAATTTTGTACAGAGCAAAACTTTTTTCGTTCCAATTGTCTCAATGGTTTTGATGAACCGTCCCTGTACTAGGTGTAAACAAAATTAAATAGTTCGGTTCATAACCTAATTGGGTCAAATACATAACCCAGACCAAAAACTAACGATCAAAAAATTAAACTAATGTTATAACTTCAATGCAACTTTCAGGTCTGCTATAGACCGAATCAGCTTCTGACTTCTTCTTAAAAGTCACATATCTTTCTCTTAGCTTTCCAGCAAGTATTAGAACGCCTCGATCTGACTCTCATAAGTGCAAAAATAAAATAAATTAGAAAAACATATTAAAACATAAAAATAAACAAAATAAACAATGGAAATTCCTAAGTACAAACATAGAGGATTGTGCATCAAAATGCACTGATCAGTAGGAATATGCGGTGATAGTCAAACCACGAGCTCCCCCCTCCCCTTTCAAACGTAAATGTCTTGGTGTATCACATGCAATGCGGACAACCCATTTTTTCATGCGTAACCCAACCAAACAACATTGCATATGCTGGAAAGTCTTTAATGGTCCACATCAAGGAAGCTCTCAAAGTAAAATTTTATTTACGTGATATATCATAAGTCCATTCTCCAATCCACAACCTCTTCAAATCATCAATTACAGGTTGTAAGTACACATCGATTCTGACTTTTGGAATCGACGGTCCTGGAATGAGGCACGTCAAAAATATGTATGGTTTTGTCATGCACATCTCAAGAAGGAGGTTGTAAGGGGTTACAATAACTGGCCAACAAGAATACACAATACTCGACGCTTAGACATATGGAGCAAAACCATCAGAGCATAATCCAAGCCTGACATTTCTAGGTTCTGCGACAAAATTAGAATGTACCCGATCAAAGTGCTTCCATGTCTCGCCATCAAATGGATGTTGCATAGTTCCTGGACTTGTTTTATTTGTATGATGCCATATCATTTGACTTTCATTGTGCATTGAAGCAAACATTTTTTTATCCTTTGTATTATTGGAAGATAAAACATAGACTTTATTGTTACACGTTTTTGGTTGCGATTAATGGCTTTATTGTGAACTTGCTATCTTGGACTCTTACAGAACTTACATTCCTCCAACAATTTTTCTTTAGTATCAAATTCATTGTCATAAAACAATATGCAACCACTAATGCAACAATCAATCTTTCTTATTTCTAAACCCAACTTCGACACCAACTTCTTTGCATCATAAAAACTTGTAGGCAAGTTGTCTTTCGTTGCAGTCGAGTCCAACATCATTTTTGCAAAGAATTCTAAACAATGACCAGCAAAATTCCAATTGGACTTAGAGGCCAATAATCTCACACAAATTGATAACTTTGAGTCTGACGGCTCCTCAAATAATGGCGTATTCATTTCATTTAACAACTGATAAATTCTTTGTGTTTCCTCATTCGACAACTCTTTTACATCAAAATATTCAGGTTGATCATAGGTCACGATCACACCAAAAGCATCACCAACCATCTCACCGATCAGATTAAAATTCTCCTCATATTCCCTAGCTAATCGACTACTTGAAGCATGCGTATTACTAGTCTCTGGTACGTTACTCGGCAGTGCTTCACCATTATATGTCCAAACCCAATATTTTTAATGAAACCCCTTATATGCAAATGAAGTTCTACTTCCTCTAGATCACTAATTATAGGTCTACATTCACATTTAAGACAAGGACACCTAGCTCCTCCTTCACATTCCTGAGCAAACGTCTACATGATAAACACTTTAAGTTCTTTCTAAAAATTTGATTTAAGTCCACGTCTTCTTGAATACAACCTATCACACATCCAACTACGATAATACAAATAATATTTCATACTGTACATTTATACAATCATTGTCTTTTTATTAACTATAAATAAATATTTAACTATATTAACTATCACTAAATTTTACAACTATTTTGTAACTCTATTAACAACACACACACGCACGCACGCACGCACGCACGCACGCACGCACGCACGCACGCGCGCGCGCACACACACACAGAGATATATATATGTTTTGAAAATAAAAAATACAAACATAAAATATGTTATTTAAAATTATATTTTATGTATATTTCCATTTTAAATAAATATATTAAATACAATACTTTGTTTTAAATAAATATAATAAATAAATTTTTGTTTCATTTATTTTTACAAAAAAAATAAAACAACCAACAATTAATATATAAAAATTAAAAAAAAATCAAAATAGCAAAAATATATTTTCTTCAATCTCCTTCAATCTTTTTCAAATTCTTAAAACTTTTCTAATCTTCACCTTTTAATATCTTGACAAAAAAATGAAAAAATTTAAAATGAAAAATAATAAAATAATTAAACTAAATTATTAAAGGAAATTGAAAAAAAATATATTTTTGATAAATTAAGAATAAAAATTGAGAAATTGGAATTGGAATCGAAATGGAAGAAGAGAGTGGAGAAGAGAAGAAGAAGTGGGGAAGAGAAAACATAATTGGTGAACAAAAGAGTGGTTCTAGAAGACAAAACGTGTAATTTTATATAGTCCAATCAGCGACGTGAATTTCACGTCGCAATCTTGCCACGTGATATTCACGTCGCAACATGCAATAGTTAGAAAGACGTCAGTAACATTATTTTCCAGTTAGTCAATTTTTCCATTTATTTTTCAAAAGTTTCCCACTTAAGCGTTGCGACGTGATTTCTGTTAGAATAATAATGCAAGTGTGAGTAAGTGGGAAATAGTCTCATATTGAATACAAATTTGGAGACTTGAACATATATAAGTGGAAGAATCTACTCACATATTACCTTAAGGTTTTAGATGGATAAATAGTGAATCTCTTACAAAGGTGTCTAATCGCACACTATGTATCTCGTAGTAATTAACTCCCCCAACAAATGGTAGCATGAGCAACTCACTCAACAAATGGTATCATGAACTTTTAAGTGAGGAAATAACCTCATATTCCACATTGAATAATCAATGCTCCTAGCAACTCTATCCAACAATTGCCACATCACAAATTAAAATTAAGATTTTTTCAAATTTTCTTTCATGTGAACATTACAGACTTTTTAATTTGTTATTTTAAATTTTTTTAGATGCGACGTAATTCACACGTCACAATATTTTTTTGTTTAAATAGAGTCTGACTCCTCATATATTATCATGACTTATATTATTCCAATCTTAAAAACATATAATGATGTAATTATTACGTTGCAACTATATTTTTATTGTCACATGATAATCACGTCACAAAATCATGTCATTGGACACACTTGTAGTGAAACTTCCAAACAATAAGACGAGAATCATGTTACATAACTATCAAACAAAAATATTAAGTTTCAATAAATAAGATGAGAATTATGTGTCTTTAGTTAGTCTTAAGTAGGGTAATAGATACATGGTACTTTATTTAAAAATGAGAGAAACCCCAATACGCTTAATTAGGTGTCTTTAGTTAGTCTATTGAGGACTAAAATAGAGATAGACACATTTACCAATATAACATTAACATAGACATATAATATTCGATAATTATTAAAGAAAATTAAAATATTCAGTTTAACTTGATAATATGAAAGTGTAACTAATGAGATTTGGTTGAAAACTTAAAAAGCATATAATGCTTATAAGCCTTTTCTTTGGTCACAATAGTTGAAGGAAAATCAGGATGATTAACTGAATCAGGAAATCCTTGACTCTCTAAACAAAGTCCAGCATGAGCTTTATACAGATATCCACCTTTACCCTTCACATCCTTGATATAATTACCAGTATAAAACTGCAAACCAGGGGCATTTGTGTAAAGTGTCAAAACCCTACCAGATTTCTTATCATGCACTTTTGCTGCTAGTTTAATCTTTTTACCTTTCTCACCATCCAACACATAGTTAATGTCATAACCCTTAGTTTCAGCTAGTTGGTTGATTCTGCTTCCAATAGTCTGTGGTTTGAGAAAATCATAAGCTGTTCCTTTCACATAAGCAAATTTTCCTGTGGGAATTAGTTTGCTATCAACAATTGTGATTTTGGAGCCAAAGATTTGTATCACTTCATTGAGAATGTTGCCACTGTTTTGGCCTCCAATGTTCCAATATGCATGGTTTGCTAAATTAACTGGGGTAGGTTTGTTTAGAGCTTTTGCTTTCATAATTATGACCAATTGATTTTTTCCAGTTAGAATGTAGCTCACACTTGCAACTAGGTCACCAGGAAATCCTAAAATATAAATTAACATAAATAAAAATTTATGTCAAAAATTCCATATATTTAACTACAAGAATTAATAATTGTTATTTAAATCGTGGGAAACTTCAAATTGAATATGTGTCTGTTTTATGATAAAGCGTTTAAATTGATATATTTATTTATATTTAATTACTCCTATTTTTTTAGTAATATTATTAGGTGTCTATATGTCAATGCCATGTACAATATCAATATTAAAGTTTCTGATTTAAAAATAAATTTATAATAATAAAAAATAAGAAGAAATTAATATAATTTTTTATTTTACTAAAATACTAAAGTTTCCTAGTTTAGTAAAGAAGGAAGAAAAAAAAATGTATAAAATTTACCTTGTTCACCATCAAAACTATGGTAAGTGAAAGTAACAATTGGACTAGGACCTTCTCTTTGATACCTTTTAACTTTCCAAATAACATCACTGAATCCTCTTGATCCACCTAATGCATATCACAACAAATTGATGATTAATATATATATATATATTTGTAGCAAAATAAAAAGGACTGTGTAATATAAAAGTATGGTACAAATCTTATTTTCATAATGTAAAAATTAAGCATACCATGAAGTGTATTGTTTCCTTCATTAGCAACTAATTTGTAATGTTCTCCATTTAGATTAAACTGAGCTCCTCCAATTCTATTAGCAACTCGTCCAACAGTAGCTCCAAAGTATGTTGAATCATTCTGCAATAAATTAAGAGGTGAAATTCTGATAATTAAAGTACTAAAAAATATTTAAAAACTAAAATTAATGGTAATTCTACCCTAAGAATTAAATTCATTATATATGATTAAATATAAGAAATAAATTATTAAAACATATAAACAAATTTGACTTTTTTTTTTTTTCTTGAAGGGCAAATTTATAGATCTAAGAGCAATTGAGTGATTTATGCTAAAAATCTATTTTCCATTTCCACTGTTATAATTATGTGAAACACAACAAAAAAATGATGTTCAAATAAAATGAAAGCTGCAACTAATTATTGCACATCCACATCATTGCAAGTTGCAATCCCATTACTCCCGTGGATCATTGCAAGTCTTTTCCAGATAATACCCACACCTTTTTTTTTTCACACCTGTATCTATATATTAGGTGTTTTCATATATAGGAAAAGACTAACTTATATTTTATATTTTAAAGGAATGTATTGAAAAATTTAAAATATTTTTTGAATTGTATATTTAAATATTATAAAATGACTAAAATATTTTTAATTTTTAATAAGTACTATTTTTGAAACACAAGTTACCAATTACTACCAATTGTATTTTAATAAATCTAATGATAATTACACCTATTAAAAATGAATAAGAGAAATGGTTATATTTATAACTGGAGTTTTTTACACAATTATTAATATTTAAAATTACAATTATTAAAGCATTTAGATTGGAGCTGATTTATTAATCCTTTATATGAATTTTGCTTATAAAAGAAATAAGAATTGAAAACATTGCAATTTTCTATGTAGCCAGCCAACCGTGACTAATTGGAAGTCAAAGTGAAAAAGAACTAATGGCCAATGAAATTTTGAATAGGCAAAATATATCTATTTTTTTTTCAAACCTGATCTTAATGTGGACCCTTTTCAATGGATTGATAGAGATAAACATAAAATCTATGATAATCAATCAATAAATGTATACAAAATGTAACTATCAAAGCAGATTAAAATATATTACCAAAAAAAAAGAAAATAAAAATAATTATGTAACTTAGTCAACAAAATATGCTTATCATCCATAATATACATCATTTTGTTACACTTTCAAAATCAAACTAATAGTCTTCAATATATATAGCACAAATAACTATCAATAAATTATCTTTAAATATATTTAAATAGTTCACAATACAATTACTTTTACAAGATTAATTTAATAGCTCTGGAACATATAAATAATTATAAGTTTTAATAATATAGTTTTGGTTTTTCGGTTTTACTTCTTTCACATATTTATTTCTTCTATTTTAAATTTAAATAATTTTGACATCTCTCCCATATTTTGTACTCAAATGAATATATTATCAATCTTCAATATAAAAATAATAATGAATTAAAATTATTTAACTTTAAAATATGAAGATTAATTATGTGATTGAAATGAAAAATAATAGAAGTTTTGTCAAAACTAAATATCTTAAAAATAATTATCTTAAATAATTTTTTTAAAGAAAATTAATTCTTAAAAAATATAACTCACTCAATTTCATAATATTTTTTATTTGTATTTTAATAAATGCTCTTGCAAAAATATTGGCCTTTGGGTGGAGATTTCTTGAATATGGGATCTAGGAGGACTAGAATTTTGGAAAAATGCTTACACATCTTAAGGAAATTTGTTCACAAGTTGTAGCAGTTTTGGAGTTCTTTCAACTGAGGCAAATATATAAAGTTATTAACTGCACTCTTATCTCTCTTATACCTAAGACTAAGATGCAGGAAAATCCGGACTTCAACCATCATGCAAAGTATGAGAAGTTAAAGGTTACTCATCTTGCCTTTGTGGATGATTTGCTTATGTTCTCGAGGGGGACTACAGATATGTTTAGACTATGATGAAAGTATTCAGCAACTTCATGAATTCTACAGGTTTGCAGATTAATCCTACTAAGTGTAAGATCTTGTTTGGGGGGTGGAAGATGCAATCAAGGCTAGTATTCAATAAATGACCTCTTTGAAAATGAGGGTTCCCTCCCTTTTAGGTACTTGGGAGTGCCTCTAACAAGCAAAAAATTGGGTGTCAGTCATTATCTAATTTAATTGAGAATATTGCAGGTGAAATGAAGCATTGGATTAATCACTTGTTGAAATGTTTTTTCAATCTAAGTAATACTAATTTCATTTTTGCACAAGAAAATGTTTTGGATGAAAGTCTATATGATAGAGTAGACAACTCACAGTGTATTCCTTAATTGAATCATATCCAAGAACAACATCATTCAATTTACCTAAACACAAATTACATACAAAAACACAAAAATATTAAAACATATATCATAAATAAATCAAACAACATTCAAAAAACATTTATTATATAAAGACAAAAAAAATGATCATACTATCATACCTTTCTTATCAGGAAGAACAAGAGATACAATTGAAGCCCCCCAATTAGTAACTTTCAAAGAAACTTCACCTTTCTTCAACTCAAATATCCCAATCTCTTCTTTCTCAACATAACCATTCCCAAATCCAAAAACTACCATAAATAGACATAGAAAAACCACAAAGATGTTGGTCATCTTTTTTTCTCGAGTTCAAACACTTTAGAATCAAATAATGAAGAAAGGGCTATAATAAATTAATGTATGATATAAAAAGGGTAATTTTGAGAGATAGTGGGAACAAAGAGTGTATGAGATATCTTCTACTTTGAGCTTGTTGTTAATGTTTATATGATACTGTGACTAGAAACATAGCTGGCCCCAAACGGACATGCCATGTTATGTAGTTGTTCTTAATTTCCTTTATGTGGTCCCTCATGGCCTACTCTTAAATCAATAAGTTTATATTTTCAAGAAGTAATTAAATAAAATTTTGACTAGAATAATTTTTTTAATGTCTAAAGTTGTTCATCTACATTGATTAACATCATCACGTGGTTCCTGTGGAGGCATTGAATTATACTAGTTTTAAATAGGAGTTGGAAAGTACTTATTATATTTGCCAAGTTTAGGTTTGATCTTATAAGAATAATTCAAGTTTTAAATTAGATCTATTATCTAGTATATATTAATTTATATAGTTATATTTCATATTGTTGTAAAACTCTAGTATATACTTTAGTCTATTTAAAAATTTATCTGAATATATTTAAATATGTAATACGATATATGTTTATTTAAATGAAAAAACGTTGATAAAAATCTTTTAAATCGAAAACATGATATTTGAAACCAAATTTTAGATTATGAAATCGATTATCCGCCATTTTAAGAAAACAATTACATCTAACTTTATTATATATTTGATTTTTACACATATGCCAATACATATGTCTACGTTTACGTCTGCGCTTACAATATACAAATCTACGCATATGCTAATACCTACGTCTACGGCTACACCTGCATTTACCATAAAAAAAAATAAATGTTCAAAATTTTGCTAACATTGTTCAGTGCGTTCAAATTCAACAAAGCTATGACGGAACAACATACAACGCCGTGAAATTGGTAACTCTAAGTCAATGGTTTAAAGGAGAGAATGCCAGAAATAGTCTTCATAATATTTCAAGGCATACGCGTATTTTACACACATTTCATACATACATCTGGCATATCCAAACCATGCATACCCTATACATTTTACATACATACAAACATTCAAAATGCATGCATGTTGTTGTACTCCAATTTTTGCCCCTAAGATCCCTTCATCATACCATGTTGAGTCATTCACAATAAGATCACATTAGGATTCTTGGTTCCCCTCCCTATATTTAGCTTTGCTCTTTGAGGAATCACCAAGTACCTTGACTTGTGATCATGAATATTTTTGTCTTGATTTTTCCTCTTAATTAATAAAATGCAATGTTAGTTTGTCTTGCTTGTTACTAATATAGGTAAAGGCAATGAGATTTAACAAGTTGCTCCATGAGTTCATGAGTTTATTTCTCATGCCCTAGTCAATAAAGCTTGAGAAGTTCAAACCTCACCATTGGATTTGTTTTGGAAGAAATGGCATGGGAAGGTTATTTTGGTTCACCACATTTCAAGGTTATCAAATTTGGTTCAAAAGCACAAGGGATTGATTGGAGAAGTTGTCATGCTTGGACAAGGCTTTGTTCCCATTGGTCACAAATGCATATTTCTCTCAATTCTCAAAAATGGGAGTGGTTGTGATTGCTATGAATTCTCATTATCATCCTCAACAAATATTTACAAAGCATTTGTGTTGGTACAAGAAGTTTGTTCAAAATTGTCAAAATTCCTCAAGGCATGTTTCTTGATTTAGGAGCTAGGGTTTTGAACTTCAAAGGAGTATATCTTGCTCGTCTTTTGGTATTTTTAAGTGATTCCAAAGACATCCTTCTCTTCAAAGGGTTATCAACAAATCACTTCAAATGTTCCAAGGAGTTTTCATGTGGAAGAAACTTGATGAAGAAGAAAGATTACAAGTCCTCCAGATGAATCCCCAATTTTCCATGTGTGGCTTCAAATGATCATAACTTGGTCAATTTTTATCACATTGAGCCCATTGTTTTTCCATAATGATCTTGAGGATGTGAAATTTATCCCTTATTTTATGTTCAAAGTGAGAAAATGGATGGAAGTTTCCTTAAGGATACAAAAGATTATAGGTCATTTCATGATTTTTTGCCAACTTCAACAATTCATAACTCTCTCAATTTTTGGAGATTTTGAATGGTTAAAGTTCTAAAATGTCATTCAAGAGGTATATTTCATGCCAACTTTTTTGGTAAAGAGAAAATTCAAAGAGGAATGCCATGTTTGGATGCAAACCATTATAGGTCACTTTTGAAGAAAAATTTGAAATATTTTCAAGTATGGAAAGTCAACCCTTTTTTCTCCAACTTTGACTCAATGCAACTTTCAGCTCAAGCATCCATTTGATCTCATTCTTTTTCCATTGCAAAGCTTGTAACTTCATCTTTCTAAAGCATAAAAAATCATTCCTTAAGACCCCTTGAGCTGAGAATGGCATTAGATTGAACTTGGTAACTTGGAACTGAAGTTTCTCCATAAGTCAGAATTTGAAATCTTTGTTTTGACTTCTAATCATAAGTTTTCCACGCATTTTAGCCTCTAAACATGTTTAATGAAGTTCCAGAATTATTTAGTACAACAAAACGAGTGTTTAGGATGAGTTTTGATCAAATTAGAAGTCACACTTTTCTTGTTTGCAACTTCACACGATTTCCCTCCAAACTTCATCATTTCACACGCTTGGACATTCCATTTGATTCCCTATAAATAGAGGGTCATCCCCCATTCATTTCCTCAAGCTTGGATAGCCAGAATCACCCTGCCAAACTTGTTCCATAACTTAAAATTCAACAACTTCGAAATCCATTCTCAAGTTTTTTTCAATCCAATTTTTCCATCAATTCACCTTCCTTGATCTTCCATGAAGCTAACCATATAATAACATTCAAGAATCGTGTCCTATATTGCTCCATAGAAGTCCGGTTTCAGAGCTCTGCAACTCAACATCATTATGATGCTCTCATTGCCCTGGTTTTAGTTGTAACACTTGTTTTTTACTGGAAACATGTTTTGACCATTAAATTTCAAATCCCTTTTCAAAACATTCCTTCCAAATTTCTTGAGCTACAGTTTATATAAATTTGTCGTGAAGGTGTGGTTGTCTTCGTCTTGAAGAGACGAAGCGAATGGCATAGGTCTCGTGCTCTAATTTTACATATTGAGCAACCTGGTTTTAGGACTGGTTGGAGGTTGAAGATGACCAACGTGTCATCCTCCAACCAATGAAGGCACACCACTTGTTTTTTTTTTTTGAAATTTGGCTTAATTAATGATTCAGTGTTTTATTCACTAAAGTCCATAACATGCACAGCGCGCCAGGTCCACTTGATTTGTTTATTAATGCGTTTTGACATTGATCATATGGTCCATATTTTTTTGGTTTTTATTTTCTTTTCTGATTTTTATATTTAATTGCTTTAAACTTCAAAAAATTATAGAAAATTCATTTTTAGTCCAAAAATTATGAAAAAATTATACAAAATATTTTTGATTATTCTCTTTCTAATTTTTTATTTTTTCACAATTTAATTTTGTGTTTTTGTATTTTTATATAAATTTTCACTTTATTTGAATTGTTTTAAATGTTTAAAAATACTTTTATGCATTTTTAAATTCTGAAAAAATTACGGAATGATCCAATGATATTGTGACAAATATTGGTGACCTCACTTATTTTTTATTTCTGACTTTGGTATTTTTTTCATTTTTAGTTTATTTTACTCATTTCTTTTAATTTTAAAAATAGGTTCTGACTTTAAAATAATTACCAAAAAATTATAAAATCATTTGATTCCTTTTCTGATTTTTCTATGGACTTACTTTTTTTTTCTTGATCAATTTGAACATAGTTGACATTTTTTTTCTTTTTTTTCTATTTTTAACCTCTTTTGTATATATTAAATGTAATATTATTTTGTGACTATTTTCTGGCTGATCTTGGATTAAATTTTTTATCATGAACTTTATTAACATCATTGGATCCATGGTGTTGAGTCTAACTCCATAGAAATGGATGAATGATTTTAATAATAGTTTGATTAAATTTAATTCAAAAGTGGTTTGTATATTCTCTCCCACCCCTCTTCATCCCATCCCTTTTTGTTATTGCACTAAGTGTTATTGGAGCATGATCTATATATCATGTCTCAAAACAAATGGTGCACAGATTTCTATTGATCGACCTCAAAATAGGTGCGACTTCTATATAAGTCGACTTACGGTTGCTTAACATAGCGCTAAATTTGGTCCCGATTCAAATAAATGATCATTCGTGGCCCAAACTTATGTTTGCAAGCACAAGTATGTTAATTTGATCTCTTTGATCCAATAACCTTGAGATTCATTGTGTGGGGGCTTTGGTTCTACCAATCCTCTAATGGATCCACAACACATTTGGTTAACGCAGATCACTTAAGCATCGTTGATCATTAAATGGTACTCATGAGGATTCCAAATGAATGATATACTTGACAAAAAGAAAATGAAACTTGTTATGTGGAGGCTTTGGTTCTACCAATCTTCTAATGAGTTCCAAATGCAAGTTTCAAGATGATCATCCAACTAACAACTAATCACTAATAATTGAATTTATCCTTTATTTTTATTATATGCCCCCTTTTATTTTTATGCACTATCTACTTTTAGCATTTACATTTCATGCTATTTTCATCTTTGCTCATTTGAGTATTTACTTTCTTGTCATTTTTATTTTTTCTCACTTGAGCTTTACTTTTCTTTTTTCAAAACACCTAATAATCAACATAAACCCTAAAAATCTTTAATGATACTTGGACTATTTGGTTACTATCCTTGGCATTATAGAGCATTAGACTTTTTGGACTTAGGACTAGAAACCTTGGCCTATGATTGGAGACCTTGTGACCTTATCTGACTATTTTGTCTGGAGCTCTTGAGGTTTACCTCAAGGAATTGGGTTGTTTGTTTGTTTTGTGTGCAGGTTATTGTGATTACACTCTTTGTTTGTAATCTGGAATTCACCCGTATACAACTGT